GTTGCTTGCTCCGGGCTGACCCTGGCCCGGTCCCCGGGTCTCAGTTCTTGTCAGGGGCTGGGCGGCGGTGGCGGTGCCGCCCCGACGTGTGCCGGCCCGCTTGGCTTCGCCCGAGGCCCGGTCAGTTCGCCCGAGGTCCGTGCTCCCCTCCGGCTCTCCTCGCCCGAGGCTAGTGTGGACACGCGCCTCTACGCTTAAGATGCCGTATCAGGAAACAAAATACCGGTTTCCCTTGAAAGTACCGAGGCAGAGGAGCGCCTAGATACCGGCGTTGTCCACGTGTAGCCATTTCCATGTAGGTATGGACAGTAGGCCGGGACAAAGGGGAGGCAAGAGTCGTTGTATACGAGAGAAGGCATGGAGAGCTTGAGAGCAAAGCAGATTGACACTTCTTCATAGCGGGACTGGGAGGTCACAACAGGCTTTCATTTGAAATGGTGAAATCCAGTGGACCCTGGCAGCAACCGAAAGTGTTTAATTCGGACATCATTCTTAATTGAGGGGCAATGCATATTACCACCTTTCTGGACTCCCTGAGGTGTGAATGCAGCATTTCTTTTTCTGTCACCGTAAAATCCCCTCCACAATGAATAATTTTCTTAAGGGTCTGCTTCTAGGGAAGACCTCAGCCACACTTTATATTTAAAGTTCAATTCCAAATATTCTGATTTTTAATAATTATGATACAGCATTAACGATACAGTAACTTCTACAGTTCATATGGGTTTGCATCCACTTGAGCAACAAGAAATCGAGAGCCACCTCATCGATGAGCACAGCAATTTGAGGGATCTTGCAAGGGGAAAACTTGAAACAAGCAGGCCCTATGGCTCCTAGTGACCCTAGTTATGTCACCGTGTATCTGGGCAGGTGAACAATTAGCAGGAACTTATTGAAACCATTGTGGCTTGGCATGTGGGTAGGGTTTTTTGCCTTGCCTAGGGTAGGGTACAAAAAAAAAACCCCAAAACAGTGTTGGTTCCTCTATGGTTTCCTCAGTAGCTAAATGTTCATGCTGCTAGTTACGATGTCTGTTTCTTTTAAAGGTGTTTCTTTTGGAGATTTTTATTGGCAGAAAACATATAAACATATAATTGGTTCTACAGTTTACCTATATATATATAAAAAAATTTTCCGTCCTCGTGGAACAAAGCTTGTTCTCAGAGTTTGTCTTTAGCACAATGCTACTAATCAGTGATAAAGGGCCTGTATCCTTTTTTAATTTTTATTACTATTTTGTCCTGACAACCCTCTTTGAAATGGACCTGGCACTATTTACTGTTTACCTCCCTAGTGTAAAGTATGTGTGAATGAACAGCACTCTGCTTTAGCGCTCTCGCCTTCTTTCCATCTGTTTGCAAGACTCTGTAGTGGAAAACACAAAGACTCCCAGCAGAGCATTCTTAAAGGCATTGGTAAAGAATGTCACCTGAGGTGGACAAGGTCGCTGTTCTTCCCTCACTTGACAGTTGTCTTACACCTTTATTTACAAACCGGTTGAAAATAAGTGGGATTTTTTGGATGTGTAATGTGCAGTTACACTGCCAAAATGGTAGACGGGTGTTTAATAAGCCTGCTGGATATTTTTGCAGTTTTTGGGAAATGTTATAGTTGCATCTTAGCAGACTGTCAATTTAAGCATTTCTCTTAAACTAATTGTGAATGCGAGCAACTTAAATTTCTCGTATGTTCAGTTTATGCATGAAAGTGCATAAGGGCAGTTGCTCACCTTTGTCCTGCACGTACAAGGTGTGTATGTAAAGTGGTAGTTGAAAGGTGAAAGTTCACAAATGCTTGATTGACTAAACACTTAGACATGTAATTAGCACTGTTTTATTGGAGGACCAGAACACAGGAGACGGTGGAATGAAGAAGTAGTATTTTCCTTTGAAGCCAGTCAAGAATTAGTATTTTCCCTTGAAGCTAAGTCACAGTTGTGCTACGCCAGATACTTTAGGATGAAGCCAGCTAAACAGCACTAACATGTTGCTGCTGCTGTGCTAGAGGTGCGATCTCTTTCGTGGATGTGCACTTCTGCTCTCTCTTGTGTGTCAGCTCTGCTGGTTGTCCGACCTGTTGGTGTGAAGTCACTGAAGTTGTGGTTTGGTGGGAGTCTGTGCTGATCTACTTGGTGGCTGCTGAGGCATCTCTTGGAGCCCTTGTGCTTGCTAGAACCTGCACCAACCTGTTCTGGTGTTTTGGCCGAGCAGAGAGCTATTTTTCTTGTTCTCTTCAGTGGATGGGAGCCTGCTGATTCAGTTTGCTGAAATGATTTTGTAGAAGTTGTGGTGAATGTTGAAGCTGGCACAAGGGAAAGAGGAGGAACATGCAGCCAGAGGGAGGTAAGAGACTATGCCAGCCAGGAGTTAGCTTGGCTTTAGTTGATGTGAAACTGTGGCCTGAGAGATGTTAGAGATGGTCATGTGATGGGTTTTGTTTGGGGTTTTTTTGATGGTTTAATGAGCTGAAGGGGCTTGCTTAAGCACTAGGCAAGTGCCAAAGCTGATGTTAAAGCAGGGAGTTGAAAACTTGGAGACATAAACAGATAAGATGGGCAGAACCATCCTTGTCCATGGAATAGTCACAGATAGCTCAGCTGACTTGTCTGACTGCCTGTTTTAAATCCACTGCATGTCATGATGATAGAATTGTTTTCTCTGAATTCAAGCAAGCTTTTTATTAGCATGTTCTGGAAAACCTGTGAGAAGATAGAGCAATTTACAATGCTTCTAATGAAATTATTTTCCCTTTGAGAAAATGCTAATTGATCGATTTTTTTTAAAAAGATTTTTTTTTTTTAAGTGATGAGAACTAGGATACATTCTTTAAAAATTGGGAAGAATAAAAGTAGCTGCATAGGTTCATTAAACTGGATCACCTGGTCACCTGGTATGGGAAAAGAAGCCAATCTTGCTGGAAACCTCTGGGGTTTTTTAACTGCAATATAAGTAAAATACTGCGATTGTTTTCTACCTGCCTTGTTGCATATTTCTGTTACATACATTGTTTCTCTGGAAAATAATAGAGAACACTGGGTTTTTACTGATTTTTTTGTTTAGAATGTTAGTGGTTTTATTTGTTTTTAATAAAGTGGAAAAAAAACCCCAAACAAAATACAACAAAAACCAAAACTAAAATGCTATTTCCCCATAGACTTAGAGGCTCTCTTCAGCCTAACTTTGGACCTTAATCTGGTGTGCTTTCCTATGTTGACTAGCTTTTTATTCCATGACTACTGACTAAAACAAGTGGACTTGCAGGAAATTTATAGTGAATATACTAAATCTTGATTATGAACTGCATTGGTTATTTATGTGTCCTTGCCACTGCATTAGGGCTAAGGGACTATCTCAGTATTCTGATGTTACCTAAAGTGCACAAGAAATTTTTAACATATTCAGCATCTGTACTATTTCACTTGAGGAAAGAATAGTCCATTATGTACGTGGCAGATATTTCCTTACTTAAAATAAAATTGCCAAATATAGACATCAATAATGAAATTTGTTTGAGTTCATAATGAAGAGCTATTGTGATTTGTATTTTAACGTGTAGTTGAAATTACAGATGGTCAATAATACAGGGAAATGCTTTGACTTAATTTAACATTGCTCTGTTTTACTTATCACAAATGCTTGTCTGTGGTTTGTTCCCACACAGCAGCTGTAAATTTTGCACACAAGTTTTGCTGTGCTGACTAACACCTCTCTGGATTTTGTTTCCCTCTCCCCCTCCCCATTTCTGTTTCTCCATAGTATTTCAGATGTTTTCTGGAACTATTTCAACTCTAGTGGGCAATCTAGATTATGGATGAAATAATCTGGTTTTGGTTGGTTGATTGACTGAATGCTTTGTTGTTGTTTTGTTGTTGTTTTTTTTTCCAAAACAAGATCTAGTTCAAAGTTGGATCAATTCTTTACACTCCTACAACTCCCACATCAAACTGGCACTGACTTGTTTTTGAAGTTGAAAACAATGAGCTGTGTCCAATATAACAAATTAAGGTTGAATATTTCACTGCTCAACATGCTGAGAGGTTATGGGGGTACATTTTTGTACTGTGTCTGATGAAATTTGGTGAGCATTTATTTGCAGGCATTATGGAATTTTTACACATAAATGAAAAATTTGATACAAGAATGCTCAGCAGTTTTTTTCCATGTTAATGCAAAATATGTGTTGAGCCTTAAGAAGTAAAGAATAAGATGGTCATGAAATTGTTAAGTCTGAGACTGATGAAGTGATGATGTCCTTTAGGGTTCACTGGATCATAACATGAACAGCTTGACCTTAGTACTTCCCAAGGGGTGCCAGTGACCCTGGAACAGAGAGAAAGCATGATTAGGAAAAAGGTGGCTCTAAGAGTTGGTTGCTGTGTTTTTAAAATCTTACTAAATCTTATATTTAAGAAAAGAAAAGATCTGCATCTTACAGAACAGAAGTCAGCACTGTTCAGCTGGAAACTTCTTTGTCTGCCTGCTGTGTCCATCAGTGCTGATCTGGAAATTGTTCAGCTTGTGCATAGCGAGAGTAACCATTTATCATCTATTATTCACAGAAGAAAAATAATAATAATCCCAATAGAGCAGAGCAGTTGTCTTGAATATATGCGTAAGGTCTACCTATGATCTGCTAGTCTGTCCATGTGTACATAAGAAGCCCTTAAAAAGAGGGCTGAGAGAAGAATTGCAGGGCGTGGGGGTGGGAGTGGGTATTTGTTTTATTTAATTTATTTAATTGCTTGGCTCACAAGTTCAAGAAGCTTTAGAGCTGATTGCCAGCTGGGCATCTCTTTCCTCTTTCTCCTGGGATTCAGTCTGTTTTGTTTTTGCAGTCCCAATGCAGGCTCAAGGGCTTCAGTTTTAATAATTGCTTGAGTCACCACCACAGTAAAACACTTAAAATTCACAGAGCGCAAATAATGTAATTTTTCTGTAATAATCTCTAACTGCTGCTAATATATTGTATCATGTGAGTATTACAAAAATTGCCTGATTAGGCCTTTCCCATAGCCAGTTGAAGTTAATGTACATGTTTCCATTGAATTTCATGGTCTTTGAATGTTGCTTGCTTGAGGTAAATAAAAGATACTAACTAAAGCTTTTGTGGAAGCTGAATAATGTAGCCTATACATGGAAATTCACCAACATATAATGATATTCAAGTGTACTGTCAGTGTCAAGAATAAGAACCTGCTCTCAGTTACTTGGCCAAGAGTGCAGACTGAACCACAAAGGATGTTGTATCTTCTGAAGAAACAACCCTTATAAAAATGAAAGCTGCTGTAATGAAATTAACTGAATCACTTCAGACAGTCAACATTATTCCCTAGCCAGGAAACCTGTAGAAGGACAAATAATATTATTATTTATATATACACAAACAAATATTATTGCTATTAAGTGATGAAATGGACCTTCTTCATTTAGGTTATAGCCAAAGCAAGGCACAAATGTATCATTGCATAAGGAGCAGCAAGTTTGTAGCCAGAGAATAACACTTGGAGTTATGATTACCCAAAGATCATTGCTGTTAACTGAGTTGCAAGCAATCTTTTCCTGTCAAGGTAACTAGTGATAAATCAGGGTGTTGCATAAAGAATGGGGATAGACAGCAAAGGACAGAATGAGTCATAACCTCATTGCAGGAAGCTTTTGCCATAGTGGTGGTTGTTTACAGATGGGAAAGACTTTAATATTTGTAAATAAATTTGTCAATATTTACTCTTGACAGTATAACCTTGATTTAAAATCTGGAAACAACAGAACTGATGCTGACACTCTCTCCATTAAAAGTTGATGTAATTCTGTGTGTGTTTCAGTAAGTATCTCAATATATGCAGTATGAAAAGAAATTTTATTTTGATAGCAAAGTCATTTGACATAATCTACTTCTTGATGATAGGTTGATACTTACTACCTATAGTACAGGGCTTTAAATTTAGCATGGTTTAGTTTCTTTGCTTTGATGATTTTGAGTTTGGGGCCATGGAACTCTTGGCTGGAAGAGAGTGCTGAGGTCACCTAGTCCAGCTTCCCAGGACCATTGACAAGTCTAGATCCATTCAGACAAGGCTTTGTCTAGCTGTAGCTTGAAACGTCTCCCAGAGAGAGAGGGATGTACAGCCTCTGTGGGTAACCTGTTCCAGTGCTGCACTACCTCCTAGTGAAAGAATATTTCCTCACGTTCAACCTGAACCTCCCAAGACACAGCTGTGATCGTTGCCCCTTGTAATATTGTCCACCAACACCAGGAAGTTTGTGTTTGGGATCTTTGTTGCTACCCTTCAGGTAGCTGCATGCTCTTGTTATATAGCTCCTTTGCTGCCTCTTTGCCACACTAAAGAAGCCTGAGCCTTTCAACCTTCTCATTTGCACAGTCCTTCATTGCTTATCCAGGTTCTCAAGCTATACAGAAATGGAGTGAAGCACTGGCTTCATTGCTGGCCAAGATTTTTACTCCTCTCTTGAAAAACAGCATGCACTAAATTTACTGAAGCATTCCAGCAGCAGACTTGGGAAGACAATGTATCATGCATTTATCTGTGGTTTATGCTTGGCAAGCATCCTTCCCTTCAGTGAAGGACAAAAATAAGCTTTGCAGAAAGGCACAGATTTAGTGGTTGATGGCACATGGCAGGAAAACTTCCTTTCTTCCCTCAACATGGTATGAATTTTGAAAAACACAGGATTTTATGGATATCGATATTTTAAAATTGACTATCTGATGTAGTGCTTGTGTTAATCTGACTGCTTCAGATGGTGTTGTAAATCAGCAGAGATTTGTATGGATTGCATGTGTTAGTCTAAAACCATCAATTTGACATTTTGACTTGAGAATTTAAGATCTTACAAGATCTAATGGAATTCTAAATAAGATGCTCCAAAGATGAACTTAATTGGGTTTTGAAGTCTTCCATACATTACAAACCAATTCTATACCTGCTTTCTATGGCTGTATGTAACTGTATTTGGATCCAGCTTGAAGGGCTGGATGAAAGCAGGGCTGAAAATGTTCACATTGTAGTAGAAACTGAATGCAACAGATCTTGCTGTTGTGGTTTTTTTTTCATACTCCCTCTTTTTTCCCTAAGCTTTTTAAGATGCTTGGGAAAACTTTGTAGAATAGGGTTGATGGTTGGACTTGATGATCCCAAGGGTCTTTTCCAGCCTGAATGATTCTATGATTCTATGCTGTTGCATTTGGTTTGTGTGTGATTTACCAGCTCAGTCAGCTTGTTCAGACTTTTGGAGAAAATATGGTTGAATCAGAACATGCAGAAGATTTCAAATGATTGACATTGTCAGTCCTATAACTAATAGGGTGTGCTGCCTCAGCCTTC